TACATTAAGTAAACCTATCATAATATCCTAGATGATTTAAAAAAGAATGATGTTGTGTTAATTTACTTTTAATTTTCTTTGAATAATTATTTCACACCTTTTTTAGCTTCTTCTTTGTGCTCAGTGTTGTCCGTTAAAATATCTGTTGAGTATTTAAATAATGTAGTGTCATTTAAATTTAATTGATTTAAATATAATTGATTACAGTTTTTATGACATTTCAATAAATATTCCCTACATTTTTCTAAAATGAAAGGAAAACTTTGGAAAAATATATAATTATTGTCTACCTTAAGAAATTATAATGAAGAGTGGAATTTATAAAGACATAATTAAAAATGGTTTTAGAAATTGATTGTAATTATAATTGTATTTTTATTGATAATAATATTCAAATTCACTTTTACTTTAAATCATCTAAAAAGCAACTTCCTTTTGATTTAAACAATGATTTCAAATCGTCTCCCTCAAAATTTATATAATCTCCTTTAAAGATTAACGTTCCTTATACTTAAAATAATTTTGTTTGAGATATTTGTAGAATTGTAATATTGCTGGATACTAAAAAATAATAATAAAAAATACACAGTAGAGGATTGTTTTAAAATAGTGGTGCTTTAAGTTTGACAAGAAGATCTTTATAAGGTTTGTCAGCAGGAAAAATTTCTTTTCCTTTCTTAACATCCCATAATAGAAAAGAGTTATCATTACTACCAGAAGCTAATGTATTTCCATCAGGAGAGAAACAGACTGATAAAACTTCACTAGTATGACCATCTATTTAGGCTTTTTATTATCCAGTTTTAACATTCCATAGACGTATAGACTTATCACTACTACCAGAAGCTAAAGTATTTCCATCAGGAGAGAAACAGACTTAGAAAACAATATGAATATGACCATCTATTTAGGCGTTTTATAATCCTTTCTTAACATCCCATAATAGAATAGAGTTATCATAATATCTATCACCATCTAACTTTTATTTTTATTATCCTGTTTTGACATCCCATAGACGTATAGACTTATATATTACTATCAGAAAACTAACATTACCTAATTCTTATGACCATCTTACTTGCTTTTCCATCAAGCAATTTTAAGCATCCTTGAAGATCTTGGAGGGTCATTAGAGACCACTTTTAAGCTTAAAATCCTTATAGCTGTCCTCTAATTATCTTCTAAAACATCAAGATCAGTCCGATGGCTCAATATGAGCCCTAAAATTCAGAGCTTAGAAAATAGTTTTAACTTTATAAGCCTTACTATTCATATTTACTATACTAATTAGAAAAGACCTTCTCTTTTTAACACTAAACTCTTTTACTCATGATTTCAACCATCCAAGTTTTAAAATCATACATTTTACATATTTTAAGGAGTCAACAAGATTTGGTTCTAGGCATATTCTAATCTTTAAATTGTTAACATATACTTAAAAAGAGTTGATATACAAGCAGAATGAATCGATCAATCATCAAACTCAAATTATGTATAAATTACAATATTCATATAAAAATTAAGATATTCTATATTATTTAAGAATCAGCCAATGCAAATGTTGAAATCATATCTCAATAGCATATTTTACATCTATTATTATTCTATTTAACACAAACATAGACTCAATCAATCAGTCAGAAACTATGCGATTATTTTTTCTAATTGATTATATAACCAAAAGTTAGAGTAATAGAAATTCAATATATAAAATAAAAGATAATGGATCAAACTTTTTAAGATTAGGAAGCTCTAGCTGACATCTATACTTAAGTTAAAGATGTAGATGAACAACTATTTGGTGTCTTATTGGAAATAATTCGAAAGGAAAAAGTTTATGACTACATTAGATATCTTTTGGATAATGGAAATCAAAAACATTTAGAAGAATAAATCTTACAACAAAGAGAGAATTTAAAACAAGCTTATAATGAAATGAAATTGTATGATTTTAGAAAGAATATATAACAAATTACTGATGTCCTAAAAAAAATAAAAGATCATAAATTTAATAAGAAAGATTATTCAAATGAAGAAAATTAAGAATCTATAAAAGATCTGATTAAAAGAATTCGGTATAATAAAAAGATCATCGAATTTTTGTATTTTTTAGTTCAGCTCACATCCTTAGATAACACTTTAATTTAATGTGGTTCTAATTCATTACATATCTTAGTTTAAATGAAGGTTGATATGACAAATAAAAATTTTGATCAAGATGTAAAATACTTCTCTAGTAGGAGCTAATTTTTTTCGATGCAATTTAAGTGGATCTGAATTTAATAATGTTAACATTAGTGGAATGAATATGAATAGAGCATTATTATTGAATTGTAAATGGAACAACTTAAGAATTCAAGAATTAAACTAATTAAAAGGTCATGGTGGTTTTGTAAGATCAGTCTGTTTCTCTCTTGATGGAAATACAGTAGCATCTGGTTAGGATGATAACTCTATTCGTCTATGGGATATTAAAACAGGATAATAAAAAGCCAAATTACATGGTCATACAAATGGTATCAACTCAGTGTGTTTCTCTCCCGATGGAATTAAATTAGCATCTAGTAGTTTTGATAACTTTATCCGATTATGGGATGTTAAAACAAGAAAAAAGATGGCCAAATTGATTGGTCATACTAATTTTGTCAACTCGGTCTGTTTCTCTCCTGATGGAAATACGTTAGCTTCTGGTAGTAGTGATATGTCTATATGTCTATGGGATGTTAAAACTGGATAATAAAAAGCATAAATAGATGGTCATACTAGTGGAGTCTTATCAGTCTGTTTCTCTCCTGATGGAAATACATTAGCTTCTGGTAGTAGTGATAAGTCTATATGTCTATGGGATGTTAAAACTGGATAATAAAAAGCCTAAATAGATGGTCATACTAGTGGAGTCTTTTCAGTCTGTTTCTCTCCTGATGGAAATACATTAGCTTCTTGTAGTAAGGATTTGTCTATCCGTCTTTGGGATGTAAAAACAGGATAATAAAAAGCCTAATTGGGTGTTCATTAATTATCAGTCAACTCAGTCTGTTTCTCTCCTGATGGAAATACTTTAGCTTCTGGTAGTTGGGATAAATCTATCCGTCTATGGAATGTAAAAACAAGATCATAAAAAGCCAAATTAGATGGTCATGATGAACCTGTTACATCAGTCTGTTTCTCTCTTGATGGAAATACTTTAGCTTCTGGTAGTTGGGATAAATCTATCCGTCTATGGGATTTAAAGATAGGATAAGAAGATAAATCCTTGGATAAACATAACAAAGATGTTTTAATATAATCGAAGATTTCATTCCAAAAAAATAGTCCTCTCTCAGAAGATAGTATTTATCTTTTTCATATTTTTAGTCTCCATATACACTACTAAAGTCCTTATATCTTAAAAGGCAATATTTTAAGCATAAGGAGCACTTATTTTGAAAGGAGAGTTCATAAATAAATCAGGGATAGATTTAAAAAAATTATTGAAAAAAAAAGGAAGTTGCTTTTTGAAAAGCTTGTAGTACAAATATAGTTACAATAAATTTCTTAAATTTTTTAACTAAGTCTTTATCAGTTCCACCCTTCATCTTCATTACATTAGATAGAAAATAAGCATTTATTTTTCAAAAGTTTTCCTATCATTTTAGAAAAATGTAGGGAATATTTATTGAGATGTCATAAAAACTGTAATCAATTATATTTAAATCAATTAAATTTAAATGACACTACATTATTTAAATACTCAACAGATATTTTAACGGACAACACTGAGCACAAAGAAGAAGCTAAAAAAGGTGTGAAATAATTATTCAAAGAAAATTAAAAGTAAATTAACACAACATCATTCTTTTTTAAATCATCTAGGATATTATGATAGGTTTACTTAATGTATTATTATTTATA